GCCGGTCCCTGCAGCAGGGACTCCCCCGAGAGGAGAGGGTGGAGGGGTGGTGGCTCCCCCGAGAGCCGGGCGGGCCCAGGCGCCCTGGCAGCTGTCTGGACCGGGACCACCCACGCTGTGACCCAGACCACTGCTGGAGGGATGGGTGACATGAGCCCCAACACAGGTCCAAGCAAGACGGCTGGCCTGCCCCTCTGAGAGCCACGGCCGCCTCTTAGGGGCTTCGAGCCCCCCAAAGCCAGGGGGGTGTCCTTTTCCTGATCTGGTCACAGGAGAGTGACCCCGAGTGATGCCAGCGTGGGAGGCCGTCTGGGGCGACCCTGGGGCAGGGCAGGGAAGAGGTGTTGACTTGGGGCCATGAGCCTGGGCTCTGCCGGGGTAAGCCCTCCCCATCTGGGCCTGTGTCCTTCCACGCGCGGGCTTGGGGTGACCGCCACACTCAGAGGCTGGGCCACGCAGCCTCCTGGGCTCCAAGGAGCCATGAGGGAGACAAGGCCGGTTTCTGAGGGTGAGGACAGCAAGGACCAGAGAGGGTGGTCACACACCTAACAGCACACAGCACGAACTCCGTTCCCATCACCTGACACGTCTCCAGGCAGGTCGGCCGTGGGGCCCATGGGCGAGGCCTGCGCACCCTGCCCACCCTCCTCCCCGCGGCCCTGGCACTGCCCCGAGGGCCCCATCGGGATGCAGACCCCTCAGTGCATCTTTGGGAAACTGACTCCCCCAAATCCACCCCTGAGGCGGGCAGCCCCCCATCCTCACTTCCCCCAACTCCTGGGAGCCATCTTCCTGGGCCAGGAGGGGGCAGGAATGAGGGGCCCTAGTTGGGGGGGTCTGTGGTCTGTACCTGCCCACCCTCCTCCTGGGAGCTGCTGCCCCACCCGACCCCCAGGCGGAGAAGGGCCCCTCATTGGTCCCCAACCGCCTGCCCATCTCTCCTCTAGTGACGGGCTGGGAGCAGCCATGGCCTCTGCTGGGGTGGGTGGAGGGCACTCACCTGGGTGGGGTTGCGGAGCCTCCAGAAGGCGCCCTGCACCAGGGCACAGAAGACCAGGGCGAAGCACAGGAAGCCCTGGGGAGAGGGGCGCACGTGGGTCAGGAGCCCCGAGCCCCGCTCCCCACGCCCGGTGGGCACACGGCTCCCCTCCCCAGGCTGCTCCCGGGAACCTCTGCCTGCTGGTGTTGGCCCCCCGGGCCTGTCACTGGTAGCGCCCACCCCACCCCACCGCCTGGCCCAGGATGGAGGGGATCCCTGGCCTGAGGACGCTGCCCACTGCGATGGCCCCGGGGGTGGGGGGCCTGCCCCGGGGAGGGCCAGGCAGAGCTGTCCCTGGACCTGGGCCTAGGAGGACCTGCCCCTTGCAATGGCCGGGCCTCAGCAGGGACAGCTGGCTTATCTTTTGTTTGTTTGTTTTTTTAAAGAAATTTTTGTTGATCTCAGAGAGGAAGGGAGAGGGAGAGAGAGAAACATCCATGATGAGAGAGAATCATGGATCGGCTGCCCCCTGCACGCCCCACACTGGGGATGGAGCTGACAACCCGGGCCTGTGCCCTGACGGGGAATCGAACCGGGACCTCCTGGTTCCTAGGTTGACGCTCAACCCCTGAGCCACGCCGGCCGGGCCGGTTTTGTTTTTGAAAAACCCCTGAAACTGGGCTCCCCGGCCTGCAACCCTCAGGTGGGGACAGCCCAGGTCACACCCTCCCTTCGTCACACCCTGCTCCTCCCCAAGGCCATGGGCCCCGTCCCCTCACTCTCACCACAGCCGGGACCCTAGTGTTGGAGGAGGCGGCGGTCCCTGGAGACCATGGGTCCAGCCACGCCTGCCTCTCTGCCTCTTTCTCGGGGGTCAGGCTCTGAACTTGCAGAAGCCCCTGAGCATCGGGGACCCTCCCTGACAAAGCACTTCGTGTCCCTGAGCCCTCGGTGGGGCCGGCAGAGGATCACCCCAGACAGCCCGGCCGGTCCGGCCCCTGACCACACCCCCCGCGTCTGCAGCGTCCACAGGCCCCAAGCAACACTTGGCACCCCCCTCCCTGCCCTGAGTGGGGGCACACGGAGTGGGCTGCCTGGGCTCACTCGGCTTCCCCCTCCCTCCGGGACTGCCCACAGCCGGGGCACGCGGCCACCCTGCTTGGGGGAGACACCCGGGAGTCCATGACCAATTGACCAGCGAGGTGCCCGCAGATGCAGACAGACACACAGATGCCGGCCAGGCCAGGCGGGGCAGAGAAATAGCTCAAGCGCGCGCGTGCGTGTGTGCGTGTGCGCGCGTGTGTGTGTGTGTGTGTGTGTGTGTGTGTTGGGGGGTGGCTCTGTGAAAGGGCGGACCACCCACCAGCCCCCAAACTCTGTGTGGGCGCAGGGCCCCGCTCTGCCCGGTGTAGAGAGCCCCCCTTCTTCCCTGCCCTCGCCTGCCCAGGAGTCTGCAGGCCTGAGGGTGCCTCCTCCTTCCGCCCCCTCCCTTCCCCCCATTCTCCTCTCTCCTTCCTCCCCCTCTTCCTCCCTCTACCGCCTCCTCCTCATCACCCTCCCTCTCCCTCCCTCCCTTCCTCTCCCTCCTCCTCCTCCCTGGCTGGCTGGGGGCCACCTTCCCCATCTGGAAACCATCGCTCAAGGCTGCCTCCCAGGCTGGGGGCCCCGAGCCAGCTCCGGGCGCGGCATTTCCTCCGAGAGGGCCTCTCCCCCCACGGCTCCCGCCCCTGCTGAAGGGGTGCTGGGCAGAGGAGGG